GAACACTTTAAATGTTTTTAACCCGTTCGATACTATGGGAGACTAAAGTCGCCCGCCACGAAGCGACCACCGTGTACTACCGGCGGCTATAGTCGCTCACCACGAAGTGATTACCCCGAACATTAAACAGTTTTTAAACTGTTAAAATAGATTTAATATGAAGTTTTACTGCGTTCAACTTTCTACCGAAAATTTTCTTTCATTATGTAAAGATTATGTACAATTTAATATTTAAAGATACGGAAGCATTGCCAACTTTTGTATTGACAGACGTGGTCGTATCGAAAGGATTCAAGGTAACAGTAGGGGTGGATGTAGCAGTCGGGCAAGCAGAAGGGATGTAGAGACGTTATTCCTTAACCCTTTATCCCACAGTGTTGCATCGGTGCAACCATAGGTAATATTATAATAACTAGAAAATTTTCGATATTTTCTAGAGCACCTTAACATGTCAGCAAATGTGCAAGACACACTAAGTGCATAGAATCCGCAATTTAGTCATTATTATGTCGTGAACAGATTACTGGTCGAGCGACCCGGTACTTTCCATCCCATAATACGAAAGGGTTAATCCTCCTGTGGGTCCGAGCTTTCTAAGAGAAAGGTGTTAACTGCGGACATTCATATTCGCTGTTTAACGTCCACGCGAAAATGCAACAATAAAGGGGATCCATCGTGGCCATAAATTTCCGCAATGTGGAAAGCGGCGGCAGGCGAAATGGAATTTCACGAAAGCGTCGACAGATTTTTATAGATCGTCGATATGCAATAAAACGGCCGTACAACGAGAACCTTGTTTAACGTTATTGCCTTCGCTGACGACAACCACGCCTCGAATTTCGCCGTCGGTGTTAATGGAAAGATACGCAACAATGGATGAACAGTTGGTCGAACACTGCGTCGACAAGCCACCGAAAACTTCGATAAGTCGCGTCGTCGTTGATTCTTATCTTCCCGTGGGAGAGACACATGTAATCGAAATTTGTTCCGATAACGCACAGCGGTATTATTTTTTGCAATTTAATAAATCTCTGGATTAACAAGTTGAGCGACGCGTGGGCTGCGTAAATACGATAAAACAGTACCGACGAATACACATTTATAAATTAAACCTTTTTTGCTCCGAATTGCAATTGTTAACAAATCTCAAGTGTGTCTTTTGAAACGAGTACAGTTTCCAATAATCACAACTTTGCAAATTTCAGTTCTCGTGGCTTCTATTTTAATCTTCGAAAAAGAAGATTCTCTGTGTTGTCTTAAAAACAAATACTAAGCTTGATGGTAATTACGAATACATCAATGTAGAACACGCTCTGACCTAAATCTACTGTTTGCTACCTGCAAGGTGACAACCACATGATTCTATCCTTCAGGCACGCGTTTACAATTATCTGCGGTATTATTCCAAGCCGAATTCATTAGCTCTCCTCCTCACGCCTGTCGCCGTACACTATCGTTCATAAGTATTACGACACCTGTTCTGTATGAAGAAAATATTTCGTAAAATTGATACATTTTAGGCTAGCTTTATTAGTTGATAACAGAGATGGGCAAATTCATTATCCAGATAAAAAGTTTCAAATAACGAATAGAAACTAAAAAGGACTTTGCCAATTTTAATCGATCAAATGTGTAAACATTCAATTTTTATAAAATATATAATCACATCTCCTTCAATTAGTAGACACTAGACAAACAAGTACTGTTTAACACAATAACTTCCAAAACTGTCAAAATGATTGGTTAATATACTCTTATAACGATGGTTAAAATGTTAAAATTTTTCAGATCTGCCGCAACTTTTATTGCAGTATGAATATGAATAGATTAATTAATACATAAATGCAATTATTTTTAAAAGTTTTAAAAGCTTACGATGACGATTTTAGATACTGCTGCTTTTCAACTCTGATCCATAGTGATATAACCACCGTTCTCGATCGAGCTCTAATATCCTCTGAACAATATTTATTTCAGACCTTCAGTAATTTCGTAACGCCTTGTAACACTTATTGCATATTGGATCCAAGTGTCCCGATACTTATGACCGAGAGTGTATACAGACTACCACCACGCGTAGCGACGATATGCATACACCCGCGTGGTTAGCTCGCGAGCAGAAATTGCTCTTCGGTATTACCTTCCGCCGGTCCCGTTGATAAGAAATTCGACGAGACACGATAAGGAATGTCGACGGGCCGACCTCGTTGTCGGCACGAGAGCCTCTCCGCCGACGACGAAAAGAGCCAGTGTCTCGAAAGTGCGCGCGCGCGCGGCCACGCACGGGACGTGCAAAAGTGAAATTCGCGGGTAATTGCTCGGACGATTACGATCGGGGTTCGTGCCGGCGCCCCGGGCCACTCTTTCACCGTGTCGGGGAACGCAGAAAAAAGAAGAAGAGCTGTCCAATCGGTCTCAGCCATGTCCTCCGTCGATCGTTACGAGGACATCGAATCCTGCCCGGAACCAGCGAAGACGTCGTGGTTCCGCGGTGTAGGTGATCGTGCAACCAGTTTTTCCTGAATCCTCGCCGATTATCGTTCAGTGATAGAATTTAAACGACCTGTCATGAAATAGTTAGGAGTACATACTACAGTAATTCCTCGATTAATGCGACACGAATAACGACGGGGCTTCTGGAAAAAATCAAAACAGAGTAAATAGAGGCTAAGTGGAGGCTCGACTTCGTGAAAAAAACAAATGTATAAGGGTGCTCCGAAGCAGACTCGAGTTTGTCGCACTCGTCGAGGCATTACTGTATTTAGTGATTGTTTTGGATGATTTATTCTTGGAAATGGTTAAACTCTGTGTATATTTTATTTTACAATATTTGTCAGTCATTTGTAGCAGTCATATGTGCTATAATTTATTTACTTGTTTGTAGGTGTAAAATGAACGTGCATTATAAATTTGGAGCAGGATTCAGATTTTAGGAAATTTCTTTTGTTACATGATTTCGTTCTGTGTTAGATTTATGGAGTTCTGTCTTTATACGTAGTATTTTTTAGTGAAACAAAAATGTACCTTATAGGTGAAAATCTTCATTTATGTAATGAATATAAGCTGCTGTTGACTTTTGTACGAGAGTGTAAATTTTCTTATCAACGAGGCTTTCAAAACAAATGTTGACATCTGGAGGAGAAACACTGATCCAGTATATTGAATAAATTTCGTTCTTTTTATTCAAACACACCAGTTACATTCTGATAAAATAATAATTTTTCTCCAATATTTATCGTTTTTTAGTACTGTACACGTTTCCAAAGTTTTTGCAGGTACAAAAATATTTTCGGCATATTTATTCATGAAGAACAGTGCATTCTACTTGGTACCACTAAATTATTGAAACTAACAAATACCATAGTATTTCTTGAGCGAACAAAATTTTGAACGGCCCTGTATTACAATTATACAAAGAACAGCACGGTTCTCCGAATGAATCGAGTTTCGCGAAGCCTCCATTGACCGTCGTTGACTCGTAGTCCGGCCGAACAGCGATCTAAATGTGTCCGGACGACGTTAAGAAGATTCATGGATTCCATGAACGCCAGACAGCCCATTCCTTAATTAAGAATTTCGCTGGAAAGGACCGTTTACCTCGTAAAATATGTCGTTCCAGAACTTTTTGCGGCAAAGTGTATCCCATAAAAAGGCAATTTTGTTACAATGTGTCCGTCATAAATTCATATACACTCAAGACAGCAGACTGAAATTAACAAAATTGAGGTCACTGACACGCCACCGAAAATTAATTCCTGTCATAAAATACACTAACTAATTATTCTGTCCGTTTACGTTACGATATCGTTCACAACTGTACGAAATACGCCAATTCTTATCATCCACATCGAAAGTAATTAAGATTTCCGATATCATTCCGAGACAAAGCTCTTCAGATTGAATGTCTGTTGACTCGATCGACCTTGTCGGTTAACCTGAACCGTCACGAATTTCATCTTCTCCGGGACATTGAACTTCCTCGTAACGGATAACAGGGCAGAGCCAGCGTTACGACATAGTCGCATAAAGGCTGCATTACATTACGCGGCCCCGTAACAAGTTATCCTACCTGTTCCCTTAACGACGTTCCGACGTAAGAATTCATATTAGACAAAAGACGCAGTGAAAGCCGGGACGGGAGGCTTGTTTTCCCTCGTGGAAATACGGGTTTCCGCTCTGGAACGCCGCTCGAGGAACTTCCGGTTTCGCGTTCCAGCGGAATCGACCGTTAATCAGCGTTTAACGAAGTCGCAATTAATTTCGTTCAGGTATTTGCCATGTGCATGAGTTGATTTATTTATGTTCATGCTGCTGTGCATTCTCAACTCTTATTTGTAGGCAGCGTAACAAATTGTGCTGAAATTTCAAGCGCGTTACAGAACCGAGTCAAGAAAATTGGGATTGTTTGCGATTTTAGAAGGTTTTTACCGTTTCTTAGGAATATTTTACTAAATGATAGACTGATCATTCTCATCGTTTTTATAATACTATATAGTGAATAGAAAGTGACTTTGCATACGTTTCCATTGATTATACGGTCGTAACGTTGGATGCTTCTAAATTGTTAGATACTCTGGAAAAGTAACAGTATTGCTCCGAGGTCAATAATCTGCGAATGTAGACTTCGAAATGATTATTTCAGTAACTGATACAGATCAAAATGAATCTATGAAAAAGTGAAGGGCGTGGAATTGTGGAAAAGTAGAGTGTATAAGTCTGCCTTTATGGAGACTTAATTACTGCTACGGCAAGATATTTATGCGTTGCATAAATTTCCCGGCAGAATACACGAATGAAATCCCACTTAACGAATGCTGCAAGCAAACCTTTAACCGAGGTGTGAGGTGTGAATTCTAACCGAGGTGTAAATTCTCCGCTAATCTTTTCTAATGTGCAGTCTGGCGCACGAAGTTGGAAACACTTGTAGTAAACGTGTAATTTTTTTTTTTCTCTAGACGAAAATCTCGCAATAAGTAATTTTAATGTTCTTCAATTTCCAGAGGATTCCGACCTGTCCCGTGAAGAGTCCACAGCCCCTGAAGGAATTCGTGGGACGCTGCCAGACGATGCCATCGCGAGTGAAGAAGTCCTTCTGCGGTTGCCTCCAGGTAAGAATGAGAATTATCTTAATTACGCGTCTCTTCTGTAAGTAAGCGAGACTCTAAAGTAATTAGTAGTTACCGTATAATTTACTCGTGGTTGCCTCCATGTCTTATCAGCCGGTTGCGCATGGAAATTACACGTGTTTCGTTAATTTCTTTCCTTCGTTCTTGTGCTCTGATAGATAAGAACAGTATCCTTTACCGTGGCGTAACGTTTCCGTAGATCAAGAAATCTACACATTCCCTCTGTTATAAATACTCTTGTAATATATACTCCACACTGTGTATCCCTACTCGTGATTCCTACTCATTTGTCCTTAGACACGTTTCAGAACGAATTTCTTCAAACCAGGTCTTCTTCTAAAATGACCTTATGAAATGAAATACAAACGATAGGAATGATGAAAAAAAGAATGTTTCTATAGACTAAAATCATGAATGAAAATGTATCAAAATACAGCCGTCCAAACGTTAAATCGTCCAAAGTCTTTAAATCCCCCACCAGACGACTGGTATCGAATATTTCAAAGTAATATATAGACTGAACAGAGAACAAGGTACCTAAAGAACCTCGTGAACAGCCAGTTTACCGAAAACAATCATAAAATTAATTGATTGAAAGTGACCAATTAGTCACCGCAAGCCGCGAAAATCGATTCCGCCTCGGCACGGTTCGGTTCCGCGTTCTTCCGTCGAATTCGTAGACGCCGTGAACCGACAAAGATCGATTGCACGGGCTTCCACGAAGCCGATTGTCATTAGGAAGTCGTTACACTCTCGCGTCGAGGCGGAGGCAGCGGAGAACAAGAGGGAAATCGACGTCGGCTGTTCCGCCGCATGAGGACCGCCACGTCGATCGCGCTCGAGTTCTTCTCATCTCTCGAACCTTGGATGACGGAGCATTAAAACCGTTCTCTGGTCCCCGTCCTGCGTCCGTCGCGGCCCGGCTCCAGTGACATCTGCAATGCAAACGCGCGATGCGTGTGCAGAGAAACGTCGATCCGGCTCGGCGAACGATTATATTATTGTGTCGTTTGACAGGCAAAGACAGAGACGTGAAAAGGAGATAAGTGGATAAAGGGGAACGGCTGAACTGAAAGGAATGTAATCATGGTCATTGACGATCGGGGGATAAGCTTCGGGATGTGTAGAACTTGATGAAGTAAGAACTTTAACGGGTCATGCTCAGTCAGAAATTAAAAAAAAAATCGATTTTTCACTTTCTACATTTCCTTTAAGTACGACATCTCGAGAATTTTCTGTGCAAGTTTCAAGGTAATCCAATTAAAAATGACAGAGTTACAGGCGTTACAAAATGAACATTTTATATAAGTGTAAGCTTGACTTGAAACTTTAAACGCGTTTTTCTCGAAACTAGATTTTTCAAATCGGTGATCAATATTTGTCGAAAACTACTCTGTCGATTTACATGAAACCTTTTGCGCCTTATTTCAAATCAGAAAAACTTGTCCTTGAACGAAGGATTTTTTTTTCGTTCCATATTTATTTTAATTGAGCAAAAACGAGTGATTTTTAGGTGAAAATCCAACTTTTTCAAGAAAATGTCCGCCATCTTGTTCCTAATCAATATTTCGAAAAACCCCACGTTCAAGGACGATATTGGTTCTTCCATTACATATATCCTACTGAATTTTTAATTTCAGATGAACCGTTACGAAGTTACAGTGATCACGGGAGACCGCTTTTTATAAAGAGACATTCGGGAGATCGCTCACCATTTATTTACTAATAAATATTTTTAAATAAAAAAATTACCTTATAATCTAGAAACTGCAATCTTTGAAGCATATACACATTTTTTGAAAAAGGTCTTATAGTGTTTGAGAAAAAAATTCCCAAAGAACACTCTTTTTTCGGCCTCCTGACTGAGCATGACCCCTTAAAGGGAGGAGAGAAGGAAATCTGCAATGGAACCATTAATCGACGAAGGAAGATTTTATTCGATTCTGTCGAGAATGGTAGAAATATTTCCAGACCAATTATATAGGTGGTCTCTAGTGGAGACATCTGTATATAATTGATAGTCTGCTTGAAAGGAAATTTTCTGTATCAATATTTTGACGTCTAGTTATGATTCATCGTCAGGGTATCCGTGTTTCATGTGCTACATCATTCTATTAAAAGAGAGACACGCACCGTTCGATGACTACCGTACAAGAGATCCTTGCCAGTCATTCTATTTACTCGTGGTAGTTAACGGAGTACCGATGGTGAATTACACAGAATTAAGAATGAAATTCTTGTTCCGACCGCACCTATGAGAAATATGATTGACGAATTTGGGTCGTGATGGTCGTAAATGAAACTCCGGTGATTTGTAAATCATGACCGCGATGATAGCCGTAATAGTATCTGCTGCAACTTCATATTGCTGTTAGAAATAAGCAATTAAGTGTTATAATATTCCGATTGAAAAGAAATTATATTCAACGCTAATACGAAGCTCGGAATCGCCTCGAGGAGAAAGGTGAATCGAAAGTGAGGATTGAGTCATTAATCGAACTTCTATCCGCGTTTGCAATTATACCACGCGAACAGATTATAAATCAGTCCTGGTATCTTCTGAATCAGATTCGATTTCGATTCAATCCTTGAGAAAATCGATTCCCTTGGAAAATACGTTACTGCCATGTATAACATATATATGTATACACTAACGGCCAAAAGTATGGGACCAGGTGTGACAATTAGAAAAAGTAAAGTAAGTTTCGTAAGTATTATTTTATTGTAATAGAATAATGAGTTACTGTTTCATCAATGATGAACTCTTGGCCCATACTTTTATCTGTTAGTGCGTGTGTTATACAGTCGTGGACATATTAATGTCTACTTGAAAATTAAGAAAAACAATTTTTGCAAAATACTTTTCCATCTACTTTCATCAAACATGTTGCTATAACAATCAAAAAATCATTTTGGCATCAAAGAATAGCAATTATACTTCGGGAAACTGGTGTTACATAATTAGATTTTGTTTAATGTAGACATGTGGTCACATTGATATGGCCAGGGATTGTACATGGCAGTGATGCGTACCCAAAGGAATCGATCTTCTGAAGAATCGAATGGGAATCGGACATCCTTAACCGGAAGTGACGCCAGATGACGTTCGAACAAATCCCACTCGTCGAACCTTCAAACATCTTCGTGTATCGAAATCGACAAAAATTACAGGATAATTCAAAAGCAATCTGTGAAACAATTGCTCACCGATCCTGCACAGTGATATTTTTATCGTCAGGTGTCATCGGCGCCTGTGAAAGCACACCACCGTTTCACGTTTCCTTGCTGCTGCTGTCTCGCCGATTAATATCTCGGACAAGATAATTAATGGGCCCGATCGCGACAGGGATAGGTCTCTGTGTGTATCTCGAAGTGTTATTGTCGCTGCAACGCCGATTCTTCCCATTCGCCGAACCAGTCGTTCGGAGCGTGAATAATCCAGCTGCAGCCTTCCATTTATTATCACGCGTCTTCTGACTCTCCGCGAGGGGATTGTCCCGTGGAAACTGCAGCGTGCAATTTCCTTCGAGACACTTGTGCTCCGTCGATCGTCGAAATAACCGAGTGTCGATTAAATTACATAGAATCTTGTCCTGGGGCGATTTGCCGAATGATCGACTTTTATGAGGCTTAATAATATTCATCGGTGGGTTAAATCGACGCATTAAAATTCCGCAACGACGAACCACGCGATCGCTGTGAATTGGAATACAAAATACTGGTCCATTTTACTTGGTTGTCAGGGGGAAGCAATTACGGTGACGTCGAGTGATCGATAAATCTTCGATTCGTTGGGAGAAAATTCGATATCGATGTTCGATTCGGGATAAATGGTCCTGCTGATGTAACCTGGTGTCGCAGAGCTGACAATATGGCGGCGTAATAAATTCTCGAAGGTGCTAACGTAGAAATCGGGACGATGGATTTTTCCTTGATATCCGTGAATAATTCAGGTACAATCTAGTGTTAAGATCGAACGATAGAAACGGAAGGATAAGACGTTGGATATTCTGAGAAAGGAACTGGAATTTTCATGGAAACGAACAGCTACGTTCCGTCTATGACACGGTACGATGGTTACCGTCGGTAATTAACATTAAACGCAACAGTGGCGACGATGATAGGAGCCTAATTAAAAGAGGTTCCTCGTATCGCGGTGAAAACGCCTCGCCATTCAAAACCTCCGGGAACAATGCTCGTTTGTTTCCAGATTTTTTTCTTCTGTCCTTTTTTTTATCGACGCCCATCGGTTAATTCTCGCGTCTGGCGCGTTCAGTTCTGGTTTAGAGTTTCTCTCGGATCCTCTCAGGTTGATAATACGATCGCGCGGATGCTGTGGTGACGGGTGATAAATCCATTCACGCGTTAATTTCCAAACAGATGTCTGGACAGCAACGTCAGTTCCACGATTCGGTTTAGCGCTGGCTATTTGTCATGCTCCCATGAAAATCGATTTCGAACGGATTTTCTTTCATTTGGCAACGTGGAGCATCATACCGCTTGGAATTTTGATTTCGGTGATTCAACTGAAGTCTGAAAATTCACATAACAGTAACAGGAGTTCTAAGATCTCGTGATAATGTGTAGGCTAAAAGATACATCATTCATGAAATAGAGCTCTAATGAAGTTTAGGAGAACGAAACGAAAGCTTCGAGATCGAAGAGTCCAAATTACTGAAAAGAGTAATTTAACGCTGCAGATTCCACTGGACCCTGAAAGAGGGCATTCCACTAACTGAAATTCCTAATTCCCCTAATCAGCTATAGGATATAAAAAATGAATGATGTATCGTTCATAAAAAAATTGCCATAACGAAACTTAGTAGAACGAAACGAAAGCTTCGAGATCAAATTTGAGCCGAAATCATTGAAAAGAGTCATTTAACGTTGCAGATTCCACTGGACCGTGAAAGAGGGCATTCCAGTAACTGAAATTCCTAATTCCCCTAATCAGCTATAGGATAGAAAAAATGAATGATGTA